CCGACTTTGAACGGGCGTGGGCCAGTCAAGAAAAGCCGAGCACGTGGGGCATCCCGAGGCCACGGCGCTGGAGGTGCACGTGCGTAAACATGGCCTGCCTCTGGCCGTCCCGCCACAGATGCACCCAGCTCTTGCCCAGGCCAGCCGCGTCGACTGTGCATATCCAGCTCCCGAACACAGTCAACCCGCATCCTAAGGATGCGCGGCAAGGGTGCACGGGCCTTGGAGACCCCCGTGGACGTTCTTCGAACGAGCTTGCGCGGCGAAAGTCGCCAAGGATGGGCCGATGGGGCAAGGATGCAGGGTCGGGGACAGACAGACCTCCCTTTAGTAAAACGTGGTTTAGTGAAGGCGACCTGAGGCCCAAACCTGGCGGGCGCAAGCCTGGAAAATAACGGCCGCGGCGCCCTCTCGAGAGCCGAACACGGACAATTCACTCATCGACGTGTCACTGTTGGGGGTTCTGTTCGCCCCCGACAAGGGCACCCTCGGCAAGGCTGCCCGTCCTCACTGTGCGGGACGACTGCCCATGCACAGAAGCTTTCGGAGGCCAGCGCCGACATCTCGGAGCGGCACTGGGCTCCCACCGGCGGGCGGCGCCTCCGGCTCCAGTGCCGACCCGAGGGCGCGGCACGAACCTCCAAGAGTTCCTGCCTGTGCCTCGTAGTGCCAGCTTTTCTAGAGAGATTCTGGCAAGTTTACCTGCGCTGAGGGGAGGGGGGCGGCCCAGGAGAGAATCTGCACCTCGCGCATGTTGGGACCCGCTTGAACGCCTCCTCGGCCCAGCGCTGCTTGAAAACGCAGCGGAGGGGGGGGGGGCGGAGACGCCATTCATTCCAGAACCTTCCTCCTCCTCCTGCTCCTGCTCCTCCGCCTCCTCCCCCGCTGCTGGAAAAGCCTGCCAGAATCTCACTCGAGACGCGCTCTTTCTCCCTCGAGGACCCCGGCTGCATGCACAGCAGCGCCCCGACCACTGCCGTCCTTTGAGGGGGGGGGGCGCCGGGGCGCCGGCCGCGCGCGCGCTGCACGGGCCCCCGGGGGGCGAGGGTCCATGTGAGCTCTTCGGGGCGTGGCTCTCGCTGGCCCCGCGGGGGCCGCTGGCCCCGCGGGGGCTTCGGGCCGAGGGCCTCATGCCTCGCTGGCCCCGCGGGGGCCGAGGGTCCGCGGGGCCGAGGGCCCCCCGGGGCGACGTGGGCTCTCCTGGGGCGCGGCTCGCGCCTCGCTGGCGCCCCGCGGGCCCCGCGGGGGCCCCGCGGGGGCCCCGCGGGGGCCCAGGGGGCCCCGCGGGGGGCCGAGGGTCGACGTGGGCTCTCTCTTCCCCCGGGCGTGGCGCTCGCCTCGCCGGCCCCCCCCCCACGGGAGGCACCTCGCTGCCACGGCCAGAGAGCCGCTGCGGAGGTCTGGCCAGAGCCGTCCCTCGAGCTTCGGAGGGGGTCGTCGTCGTCGTCGTCGTCGTCGTCGTCGTCGTCGTCGTCGTCGCCGCCGCCGCCGCCACCGCCGCCGCCACCGCCGCCGCCGCCGTCGTCGTCGTCGTCGTCGTCGTCGTCGTCGTCGTCGTCGTCGTCGTCGTCGTCGTCGTCGTCGTCGTCGTCGTCGTCACCTTCGTCGTCGCCGCCGCCGCCGCCGCCGTCGTCGTCGTGGTCGTCGTCGTCGTCGTCGCCATCGTCGTCGTCGTCGTCACCCTGGGCCTCCTGGGCCCAGGATCGGTGCGCACGCCCTCCTGGCCTGGCCTGAGGTGCGAACAACCCCAATCTGCACAGACAAGAACTTGCGGGGGTGCGACGACAAAGCCTGTGGCGTGAACCTCCTCGTCGCTCCTGATCGCTCCTCCTCCTCCTCCTCCTCCTCCTCCTCCTCCTCCTCATCCTCCTCCTCCACCTCCTCCTCCTCCTCCTCCTCCTCCACCTCCTCCTCCTCCTTTCCTCCCTCCCTCCATCCCTCCCTCCCTGCTCCCCCTCCCTCTCGGAGATTCACGCCACAGGCTTTGTCCACTTGGACTGGCGCTGGACCCCTCTCCCTGGCGCGCGAAGCGAGCCAGGGGTGGCGCCGCCAGGGGGTTCCCAGCGAAGATCCAACGCATCTGCGCGGACCTCCGAGAATGTAAGCGGATGTATTTTGTCGGTTCACGGGGAGGCGAATGCTCTGCTCCTGGGCCCAGGATCGGCCAAGCGAAGATCGGTGCAGGTGTATAGCGAGCGCCCTCCGATGTCCCTCCAGCGCCAGCGGCGGCGCGCAACGCGCAATGGCCATCGCTAGCCGGTTGGGAGTCGGATCGGAGCCTCATTCTCTACCAGTCCCATGTACAGGGGGGCTGCCGCGGAGATTGAGCCAAACTGGGCAGGCCGCCAAGTGCAGCGGGAATTGGCAGCACGCTCTGGTGTCAGAGAGGGTCTAACTACATGAGAGCTGAGCCGAGCTGTCGGGTCCCACCAGCCCTGTGGGGCGGGGCTGGTCTGAAGCGTTTCCTCTTCCGACCCCCTTCTTCGGCTTCGAGGAAGGGTTTGCACCTCCCCCTGCCCCCTCTCCTGCCTCTGGCCGGGGGTGGGGGGAGGCGGGGGGGTGCCAGAGGGTCCAGGGTGGCCCAAGAGAGCCCAAGGCTGCCTCCAACATGGCAACCTCCCCCATCCATGGGCCACAAGAGGGATCGGCCCGCAGCGCTACAAGCGTGGAGCGAGTTGGGAGCCTGCCCATGCACCCCGGGCTGCAGGACGAGCCCCACCGACCCCGAGCATCGCTCTGACTCGCCACCGTTGACCACATCAGAAGGAAGGGCTGGTAGGGGCAGCAGGCCAAGAGACTGCGGGGGGAACCGGGGATTGACGCTGCCGAGCGGTTTTTCGCGCACCAGCATGGAGCCATCCTAGGGCCATCGTGATGGGGGCAAGGGACGGGGGGCCCCGGGCGGGGGTTGGGGGGAGTGCGACGCGCGAGCGAACGAAAGCCAACGAACATGCAGGGCTCCGAGCTCTAGAACGCAGCTGTGCACGAGAATCAAGGGTTACGCGGCTCTGGGGCGAGGCGGGGCCCAGGGGGGGCCAGTGGTGGGGACCGGGGAGCTCCAGGGGGGGGGACGAAAAACTGCGAAAATAAAAGTGTTCGGTGGCCCAGTGGCGGCTCCGCGGCCCAGAAGGGATGCCCAGCAGGGATGCGGCCCAGCCATCGGCGGGCTCTGCAGCCCAGCGGCCCAGAGCGGACGGGGCCAGGGGGGCCGAGGGGGGGGGGAGGACGAACGACAACGAGCATAAAAGCTTACGTGCGAGGAGGAGGAGGAGGAGAAGGAGGAGGAGGAGGAGAAGGAGGAGCAGGAGGAGGAGGAGGAGGTGGAGGAGGAGGAGGAGGTGGAGGGAGGGAGGGAGGGAGTGAGGGAGGGAGGAGGAGCGCACGCGACAACCGTCGCTCACGCACGCTCGTCGCCCTCCAGGCGGACGGCGGGGCTGGGGCCCCCGGGGGGCCAGGGGCGGGCACCGCGGCCTGGCCCAGGAGGCCAGGCCGAGCCGAGGGCGGGCTCCGCGGCCCAGCGGCCCAGAAGGGAGGAGGCCCAGGGAGGCTCAAGAGGGGGAGGCCCAGGGGGAGGGGCGAACGACAAGCGAGCGTGTTCTTCGTCGGCGTGTCGGCGTTGGGCGAAAGGGGAGGGGGGGCGGGGGGGTTCTGGCTCCGGACCTCTGCTTAGTGCGACTGTTTGCAGCAGTGCGTCCTATGGGGGAGGCCCCACCTGCTCGAAACAGGCGCCCCAAACCGCCGAGATCTATTCCAGGGGGCGGGGGAGCGCGAGCCCGCGCCGATCTTCATAGCAATGGATACCAGAAGCGATCACCAACGAGAGGAAAACAGCGAGGGCGCCCCAGAGCAGCCCCGCTCGGGAGCACACAGCTAGGCTCCTGGGCCCACGCTGCGAGAAAGCACAACATCGGGGTGCGGGGAGGACGGGCCAGGCCGCCCCAAGACGGCCCCGGTAGGCCCCGTGAGAGCCCACCTAACGATTGAGGCGAGAGGTGCCACATGATACGGCCTTCTGGGCAGTGCTCGGAGCGCCGCCACACAGAGAACTGGGCTGGCACGGTGGGGGACCTTGCCGCTGGCAGCTGGATAGGGCGGCGACGAGGCGGCGACGGGGCGGCGACGGCGGCACCAAGGCGGCGGATCTGATAACCGAGCCCGGGCGACGCGCGGGGACGAGGCGGCGGCGGGGCGGCGACGGCGGCAACAAGGCAGCGGACCCGACAAACGAGCTCAATTTCCTAGAGACCAGATGTGAAACTCTGAGTGCAAGCCTTGTTTGGGGAACGAGGCTCTGCCCAGGGCCCCATACCTGCCGCCCCCTGTGGCAGGAAGGCCAGCGGCTACACGCAGGGGGGGCCCTGTTGAGTGACCCGTGGTGCGCGGCTTCGGGCTGGCCGCGGGGTGGCCAAACCCAAAGCCGAGCGCGCAGGCCGCTGCTGTCGCATCGCCATCAGCGAAGGGGAGCCCCCGTGGGCCCGCGCCCAAAGACACGCCGGCGAAGGGTCACTCTGACGCGCTGCCACAATGTTACCCCCTGGTCCTGGAATTACTCGGCCCCCCCCCGCCGCTTCGCATCACATTGATTTGTGCTGCTCTGCGCCGCGCCTCTTTTCGTTGTCTTGCGCTGCTTTGCGTCGCAGTGTGTCTGCATTGCTTTGCGTTGCCTCGAGGTGATTTTCACTGCTGTGCACTGTTTTGCACTGGCTTGTACTGCTCTGCAAATATTGGATTAGTTTCCGTTGCTTTGTACAGATTTGGACCAGCTCACTCCATTGCGCACGCACTGCGTTGTATCCCTCTCCCTCCTCCTTAGACTCCTCGCCCTGCGTTTTTTCACTCGGTCTTCTTCCTCATTCTGAACGCTCCTCATCCCGAACGCTCCTCATCCTCCTCATCCTCCCTACTCTTCCTGAGCGTTCCTCCTCCTCCGCCGCCGCCTCCGCCTCCTCTTCCTTCCCTCTCGTGGCACCGCGCTGCAACCCAAACCCTCCGGCGTCGACCTGCAAACGCAACTCGATCTGGGGCACCGCCATCAAGGCCAGCACGAACTCCTCCGCGTGGTCCCAGGCGCTGGACCTCCACCGCTGGCGGCGTAGCGCGACGAGTGGGGAATGTCTTCTTCCCCCTGCTCATGAAGGTCCTCCTCCTGCTCCTGCTGCGCCCTCCCCTGCTCCCGCTCGTGCTCCTCGTGCTCCAACCCCTGCGCCTGCTCCTCATGTTCCGGCTGCTCCTCCTGTGGCTCCGATCCTCCGGCCGCGGCCATGGCGGGTTCGCCGGCTACCCGGGGGCAGCCCCGAGCAGTTCAGTCCAGCTCAATCTACTGCTCCCCCCCCCCGAACCCGACTCCTGTTGAAGCCAGCCCGAAGGTTCCGCGCCGGGCAGAGGCGGGTGGCGCCAGCGAGACCCGACGCGCCACGCAGGCCACGTCCGCCACTGTGTGCCCAGGCCAGAGCATTGCATGGACTCCGCAGGAGCAGGCCTTGGCGATGGCGCATGAGGAATGAAGAGGAAGGAGGGAAGCAAGGAGGGATCAGGAAACACCACGGAAGATGGAGACGGATGCGCGACTGGGTGCGTGAGCCAACCAGCCCCCGTAGGTGCGCGCGCACTCGCCGGAGGCAAAGAGCGGGGCAGGAAGAAAGGGGGAACAAAAGAAGGAGGACCACCGATAGTTTTAACACGATCAGCGGTGCAGCAGCAGGGGCAAGGAACTACAGCCAAACAGCCAGAAACTACAGCCAGCCCATTTGTGCGTACCTGTGCGTACTGTCACGTCCCATCCCCGCAGCTCCAGACTGATCTCCTCTAATATCTTATTCGCCCTGGCGGCCAGAAGACTGCAGTACGCAAGCAGTCTTCATAATCGTTGCGGGGAGAAGAGGAAATAGCATGCTGCTAAACGCCACATTTCAGCGTCCGTTGCTCCCTCCCTGACCTGTACGAGCAGTGGGGCAAGAGTCTGGTGAAGGTATGTTCGTTACACTTCCTTCATGGTCGGTTCTCTGGTCTCGATTGTCGACGGCATCTAAGGGAGGGGGAAGAGGAGGAGGAGGAGGAGAAGGAGGATGAGAAAGAGGAGGAGGAGGAGAAGAAGAAGCGAGCGAGCGACCCGATAGCGACCCCTCCTTTCTGGACGTGCGCCTAGGCGGTGCGGGGAGGGCGCTCTTAGCAGGCTGTGGGGCACGTTTTGCGGGAGGCCAAGCGAGACATTGTAGTCCTGCAAGATACCGTTGCGGGCGGCCGCTACGGGGGTCCGAGACGTCGAAATGGAAGCCGCCTTCGAAAGCGGACTCGGCGTAGCCTACGCCGAGGTCGATCATTCCGCCGCGGTGAGGGGGGACGCACAGAAAGCCGTCATTGTCGGCGAGCGAGTCAGGGCGTGCACTTCGAATATCGTCCAGAGTTTGCAGCGCATTACGACAAAACGCGGTCTCCTGTTTCATAATCTCTTGATCTTCATTTTGGCGGCTGGCCGAAACCTTCCACAATGCCAGGGCGGGCGCACAGAGACGAGCAACCTGCGCGCCCATTGCGCCGTCGCGCCAGTTGCAACCTGTCCTTTGCCTTCTCCGTTGCTGCCATCGTGCGCGCCCTTGCCGTCATTCTCATTGTTCCGCTGTTTCTCCTTGGCTGTGCTGTGATTATTCCTAATAGTTTTGAAGGTAGCTGCCCGTTTCTCCTCCTTCTCCGTCTTGTCCGCCCTCAGGGGGGGCATGTTGAGGAGAGGCGGCCTCGTCCTCGTCCTCCTCCTTGTCCCTGTCCTTGTTATCCTCGTCCACCTTGTCCCGGGCCTCGATATCTATATATCTATATATATATATATATATATATATGTATGTGTGTGTGTTCGCATGTAATTTCTTTATGTTCTCCCTGTCGTCCTTACTGTCCGCCTTCGGATGAGCGCGTAGAAGAGCAGCGGCCTCGACTCCCCCCCCCAGCTTGGCGACGCCAGGCGATGCAGGTGCCCAATGCAGTGGGATGCAACGAACGAGGCCCTTGCTCGCGTAGAACCACATGTGTCCGTCACCACTTTGGAGCTGTAGACCATGCTGACAAGCATCCCTTAGACCACGCCGCTGTCGATCATCACCACCTGGCTGTCGATCCTGCTGTAGGTCCTGCTGTAGAGCATGGCGTACATCAGGCTGATGGTCATGGTATAGATCACCATCAGTATGCATATCATACTGGGGAGCATGTGGTAGCAGGTAGACCGTGCTGTTGAGTAGGTTCGGCACCATGCACGACTACAACTGGATGGCCGAACACGTTCAGGATGATCGAGATGCTCAGCACGTTCGGGGTGTAGCTCTGCCCCGAAGCCAAAGGTCGCCAGATGCAGTGGCAACGACGCCTCGAGGCAGCTCAAACATCTCAGGAGCACTGCGACCAGCAGCACGCTCACGCCAGAGAGATGTCGCCAGCGGCTTCGCGTAACCATTGCCCGTACATAGTCAGAAGACGCACGTGTTCCACGGCGACAGCGGTCTCGGAAATCTAATCCAGGTGGGAAAACCAGCCGTCATCGCCATGGCAGCAATCAGGACAACACTTGCACGCGACTCTCGTCGCAATCCGCGGAGCAACTTCCAGGACCTTGAGGCAGTGGAACTCGAAGACCTCGGACGAGCCACGCCATGTCGCAACGTCCTGGTGCAGCTCGACAGCGGCATGGAGAACCGCAGCCACACCGCCAGGTGTGTCGTCTCCACCATGAAGGTCTTCAAGGGCGGGGACGTGCAAATGTCCGCCACCAGCGGCGGCAGCGGCAGGAGCGTGGTCGTGAAGAAGGTCTGGTTGAAGCAGATATTCGCCACCAGCGGCGGCAGCAGGAACGCGCACAGGAACATCATCGCCATGAAGCTCTCCAGGAGCGGGGCCGTGCAGAGGAACTGGCTGGTCCACGTGATGGCCACAAGCGGCGGCATCAGCGGATAAGCGCAGGAGAACACCATCGCCATGAGGCACTTCAGGAGCGGGGGGCAGCAGACGTGCATGTTGGAGCAGGTGGACGCCACCCGAGGCGGCGGCAGCAGGGCTATGCAGATGAGCGCCTGAGGAGCAAGGGCGTGCAGAAGTTCGCCACCAACGGCGGCAGCGGCAGGAGCGTGGTCATGCAGAGGGGCTGGTTGAAGCAACTGTGCGCCACCAGCGGCGGCAGCAGCTGGTGCGGGGTCATGCAGGAAAACTGGTTGGAGCCAGTGCTCGCCACCAGCGCCGTCAGCAGCAGGCACGTGCAGAGAAGCGTAATCGCCATGACGTGCTCCAGGAGCGACGGCAGCGACAGGAGCGTGCAGGAGAGCCTGAGCACCTCGAGGCGCGTGTCGTCCGTGGTGTCCGCGGAGTCCCTGGATGTAGCGCGCTGCCTTGGTCAGCGTGTCGCTCCTGCGCACGCCCCGGGCCGGGGGAAAGAGCTGCAGCGGAGTGATGGGCAGGGCCCTTCGCTCGCCATGCCGAACGAGGAAGAGAGACCAGCGGAAGGCGAAGCCGCCCTCCAGCCCGACGGGGAGGAGTGGCGCGCTGGAGGGCGCGGCGTTGCCGAATAGGAAGTGCGGTCGGAGACCGCGCGTGGGGCATGGTGACGCCGCCGCTGCTGAGCATGCTCAGGAAGAGGAGGGAGGAGGGAGGAGGGAGGAGGGAGGAGGGAGGGAGGGAGGGAGGGAGGGAGGGAGGGAGGGAGGGGGGGGAGGGAGGAGGGGTGAGGAGGAGGAGGAGGAGGAGGAGGAGGAGGAGGAGGAGGAGGAGGAGTCCTTCGAGGAGGCTTTGCTATCACGGGGAGGAGGAGGACATGCCGAAGAGGGGCCATCGCATCACTTCCAGGGAGGCGGCGGAGGCGGGTCGGACAGGGCGTCCGAGAGCGCCAGGCACGGGCGGCCTCGAAGCAGATGGCTATGGGCCTCATGTTGGCCCGAGTGGGGAGGCATCCCACTTGAGCCAACATGGCTACGGAAGGAGGGGGAGTAGGGGGAGGAGGGGGAGGAGGGAGGAGGGAGGAGGGGGAGGGGGAGGGGGAGGAGGAGGAGGAGGAGGAGGAGGAGGGGAGGAGAGGAGAGGAGGAGGAGGAGGAGGAGTGGAGGGAGGGGGAGGAGGAGGAAGAGGCCACGCTGCCACACACACACGCCTGCCACGTCCTACCCCTCTCCTTGTCCGTCCATTCTCTTGTGGTTATGACTTGATGATGTGTATGATGCCATCTCCTTTCATCCCTCCTCCTCCCTGTTTGTCTACTGTGACCTAACTAATCGTCCACATTTTGTGTTGTAATACTCCACCAGGGCTGGCTGGACGGCCAGCCCCAGGGGAAGCGGCAGCGTGCGGAGCACTCTCATGCCATCAGAAATCAGGAAAGAGGAAGAGGAGAAGGAGAAGGAGGAGGGGGAGGAGAAGGAGGAGGAGGAGGAGGAGGAGGAGGAGGAGGAGGGGGGGATGAGGAAAATGACGCAAGCTAGCTACGGACGCGAACAAGCAAAGAGGAGCATCGAGGGCCCACCCGCCGCCGACCATGGGACCTGCCCCCGGGCCGGCCGCAAGCGCGGGCTGCTCGCAGAAGCTACAGAACAGCGCGGCGCGAGGCTCGCGCCCGGCCACAGGACGGCGGCAGAGAGCACACACTCGCGCCTGGCCGCCGGCCATGGCCACCACCATGCGGACCGTCGCTCGCGCCCTCCCCCCCCCGGGCGTCCCCCAGGCGCGAGGACGCATGGGGACACGTCGGCGCTGGCACAGCGCCGTCGCTTGGCCCGCTCCAGGCCTCCTCCTCCGCTGCCGCCGCGCCGTGCTGGCTGGACACCGCGCTGAGCCGTGAAAGGTCCGCGCGAGCCCCGACGTCGCGATGGCGGCGAGACTGCCGTCGTGATTTGTAAAAGACGACATCCAACACGTTGGCGGGCTCGTCGTCGCCAGTCGCAGCCACTTGAGCATGTGCCAGTAAGTTGTCCAGCCTCTGATCCCGAAGTCCACGCGGACCGATGCATGGCTTCATGAAACGCCACAGGATGTTGCGTATCTCTGTAGCCAAAATCCACGCCTTCCACCGATCTTGCAGCCCTCTGCGTGCACGATCCTGCTGGGTC